CAGAAGAAATTGTTCACTATATATTCTATATAAGGAAAAAAAACAAAGGGCCATAATTAGGTCAAATATATACCAATCGCAAAACCCTGGCAATATGTGTCAGGGCACTTGATGACAAAGATTCTGAGAAAGTTTGGTCAAAATCCGTTGAGAAATGTAGGAGGGGTTGCGCACAGAAGAAATTGTTCACTATATATTTTATATAAGGAAAAAAAACAAAGGGCCATAATTAGGTCAAATATTATCTAATCGCAAAACCCCGACAATATGCGCCAGGGCACTTGATGAAAAAGCTTCTGTGAAAGTTTGGTCAAAATCCGTTGAGAAATGTAGGAGGAGTTGAGCACAGAAGAAATTGTTTACGCCCGTCCGCCCATCCGCCCGCCCGCCCGCCGACATACCTCAATCTAATAACTAGTTTTTTCCTTCGGAAAACCTGGTTAAAAAGTTCTGAAAGTAAAAAAAACATGCTGAAAGTAAAAAAAAAAAACATGCTAAAAAATGTGCACAATTGCAGATTTGAACTTGAAACAAACAAAAAATTTCATAACAAGAACTCTTCATAATCTAAACTATCTAACCACAACGCTACTCAGATCTACTTGTCCATAAAGAGAACAATCATCACAGAATCCTTCAAAATAACCTATTGTAAATATTTGTTATACATTTTAAAATAAACATACTTTTTTCACTCAGTTAATCTGTTTTATAACTTTAATGTTAATTATTTTCATGAATTAGCACAGGTTTCACTTTGTTTCCAGAATTTTTATACTTCACAACAGCAGGTGTCAAGTGCTGTGTGGCAGCTGTAAAAAGTTGCCCCGTACTTCACTTCAGTGTTGTTATATTTTCTGGTCCTCCGGGATCATTGATGCCAGCACTATTAAGTGTTGAGAATTGAGTACCGCTCAAGCCGGTGCTAGGGGGCGTGAGGGATGTTGCACATTTCCATTATCCCTCATGTACAGACTCAATCAAACCGAGTCTGCAATTTTCTTGTAATTTTGTTGTGATTAATGCTTCCGAGGGATCACTTTGTTTCCAGAATTTTTGCCAAAAATATTTCCGTTTCGCCAAAAAAATCTCTGTTGTGTATTTAAGTCATACCCCTTGTTCCTTGCCCGAATTTTTTTACTGTCATTAGACTATAGCACATTAGACTATATATTACAAACTCTGCACACCGGTTAAGCTGACAACCCAAACAAATAACAAACAAGAAACATGGCAATGCCATGAAACCAGGTTTTCAATTATCACCATTGTAGATAAATATGTTGTATTTGAAATACAAATACAAGCAACAAACAATGTAACTATGTGCAATGTAAAACATGAATAATGTAGGAGGAATTGCCACTGAAGAAGTGTTCACTATAATATTATGTATAAGGAAAAAAACAAAGGGCCATAATTAGGTCAAAAACTATCCAATCACAAAACCCCGACAATATGTGCCAGGGTGCTTGATGACAAAGCTTCTGTGAAAGTTTGAACAAAATCCGTTGAGAAATGTAGGACGAGTTCAGCACAGAAGAATTTGTTCACTATAATTATATTGATAATTCTGTATAATGAAAAACAAGTTACAAAGTAGACATGAAATAATATATCATATCTTTTTTAAATTACCTCCAAAGATGATATGACCTTTGACTGCCAAATCAAGTTAAAATCATGTAAACAGGATTTTCAATGTTAATGTCACTGTGACCTTGACCTTGGAGCCAGCCATGCGGAACATGCGTTCTGCACGTCATCTTGATGTGGTAAACATTTGTCTGAAGTTTCATCAAAATTCTTCAAAGGGTTGAAGAGTTACAGAGCGGACAGGATTTTCAATGTTAATGTCACTGTGACCTTGACCTTGGAGCCAGCCATGCGGAACATGCGTTCTGCACGTCATCTTGATGTGGTAAACATTTGTCTGAAGTTTCATCAAAATTCTTCAAAGGGTTGAAGAGTTACAGAGCGGACAGGATTTTCAATGTTAATGTCACTGTGACCTTGACCTTGGAGCCAGCCATGCGGAACATGCGTTCTGCACGTCATCTTGATGTGGTAAACATTTGTCTGAAGTTTCATCAAAATTCTTCAAAAGGGTTGAAGAGTTACAGAGCGGACACAATTTCGTTTGACGCCCGCCCGCCCATCCGCCCAATGTCACTGTGACCTTGACCTTGGAGCCAGCCATGCGGAACATGCGTTCTGCACGTCATCTTGATGTGGTAAACATTTGTCTGAAGTTTCATCAAAATTCTTCAAAGGGTTGAAGAGTTACAGAGCGGACAGGATTTTCAATGTTAATGTCACTGTGACCTTGACCTTGGAGCCAGCCATGCGGAACATGCGTTCTGCACGTCATCTTGATGTGGTAAACATTTGTCTGAAGTTTCATCAAAATTCTTCAAAGGGTTGAAGAGTTACAGAGCGGACACAATTTCGTTTGACGCCCGCCCGCCCATCCGCCCAATGTCACTGTGACCTTGACCTTGGAGCCAGCCATGCGGAACATGCGTTCTGCACGTCATCTTGATGTGGTAAACATTTGTCTGAAGTTTCATCAAAATTCTTCAAAGGGTTGAAGAGTTACAGAGCGGACAGGATTTTCAATGTTAATGTCACTGTGACCTTGACCTTGGAGCCAGCCATGCGGAACATGCGTTCTGCACGTCATCTTGATGTGGTAAACATTTGTCTGAAGTTTCATCAAAATTCTTCAAAGGGTTGAAGAGTTACAGAGCGGACACAATTTCGTTTGACGCCCGCCCGCCCATCCGCCCAGCCGCCCATCCGCCCATCCGCCCGCCATACCCCAATCTAATAACCAGGATTTTCAAAATTGAAAACCTGGTTAAAAAACTGACTTGAAAATAGAGTGGGAGAGGGTTATTATATAACACAATATAGTTTAATGTATTCTCAAGCACAAGGGTAGACCAACATCTATTAATTTTACAGTCTATCAATTTACAAAAAAAAATGTATCTTTTAATAACTTTAGTTTTGCCCCTGGTTGATACTTTCTTTGATAAGATAAACATTCATAACACTACTCCATTTAATGATTGTATATTCATGCCACACTGAAATATTTTATAACAAAAAGATTTTTTTTTATGCATGTCTGTAAACACTTAATTGCCTAATCAAACAATTTTATCTGTAAGTTTTAGTCATTTTTTAAGGCCATATTTAACACAGGGTTTGAACAGATGTATACTGGAGTGATTAAATTAAATGTTAAGTAAATAATAAATAAGCAGTATGATTCAATATTATCACATCAATCAATTATGCCTGTGTTCATAAAAGGATTAAATATGACATTGAGGCACTTGTAATGGTCTGCTTTTTAAAGTACCACCACTTCTTTGTTTACATTAAACTTTTGCTTCTTTGAAATAATATATGTATCAGATATAACAAAATATGTACAAATGAATAATAAATGGATAAGATAATAGATAAAACTATTTTTTGTGTGATTGGGTTTGTTTACCCTTGCCACCAGAAAGATAGAAGTATTTGACATTCTGATAGAAAAATAATCATCTTTAGAGTTGATTGAACAAAAAATCATTTACTTGCACAATTATTTACTCTCCTTTTGTGTGTATTTTGATATTTTAAACTATCAAAACACTTTCCTCATCATTAACAATAAATTTTTGCTTAACATAATACAATGGAATAAGGGATGCATGGTTACAGCATTAATGAGGTCATGCATAGTTATAAACCACCTATATCTTAAGAATACAGGTAAATATCATAAAAAAATGCATTTGTGAAAAAATGCTATGCCACCGAAAAAATGCTATGCCACCACATTAATTAAACAGAAGTAGACTTTTTTTGTATCTATAAATTTCTATACAAATGAACTTTGCCATAATGCAGTAGTGTCTAGTGTCTAAATAATAATTTTTTTTTCAGGAAAATTCTAAGTTCAAGGGGAGATAAATCTGAAAATATTGATGCTAGAGTTATGAACCTTGTCATATAAGAAGTGGATGATGATAAGGTACATATATATTAAGTATGAAGTTGATCCCTTAAGAAATAAAGAAGTAACAGTAAAAAATAGTATTTTATCAGGAAAATTCCACGTTCAAGGGGGGTAAACCTGAAAATATTGGTGCTAGAGTTATGAACCTTGTCTGATGATAAGGAACATAAATTATATTTGAAGTACCGTATAAGTACTTATTTCTGCAGGCTTAATATTCTGCGATTTTTGTTAAAATAAGGGGTTTTAAATTTCTGCGTATCTTATTTCTGCGGTGTCATCATTCTTGCATTGATGCTTTTTATTTCTGCGTTTTAATTAAGATATTTGTACCAAATAAACCGACACAAACAGACAACATTTAAACATTTGTTGATGTAACATGTACAATACTTCTGGTTAACATGCAGCGGACTGATAATGTATTTCGTTGTAATCATCATGTATGTTAATAAACATAAAACAACAATGTGCAATGACAACAATGTTAATACTGTATGTGTATCAATTTAAAGTGTGAATAATAAACAATGGCAAAATCGCATGTAGACACAAGATATTGTACAAATACAAAAGGGTATGTTTATTGCACCCGTCAAACTATAATAGTTTTATTTTACAAAAGAAATCAAGCTAAGGGTGAGCGAATATCATATAAACATGATATTTATTTAAACAAAGAGAACAAGCAAAGTAACATTTTTTTTCGCTAATATTTTATTCACGACAGATACATAAAGAGAAATTCCCACCTACAAAAGATGGTAAAGTTACATGTTAATGTAATTATACAATACGGGTAGTTGATATATTCAGACATATGCGTACGGAAAAGGCTTAATTTTCTGCGGTTTTTAAATCTGCGGGGTCGTCATGAACCGCAGAAAAAGCAGAAATAAAGTTCCCGCAGAAAAAAGTACTTAAACGGTATGAAGTTTATCCCTTAAGAAAGAAAGAGTAAAAAATAGTATTTTTAGCTCACCTGAGCATGCTCAGGGTCGATGATTGTCCGTCGTCCAGCCACATTTAGTTCGTTAACACTCTAGCATTTGCATTTATTCCTTAATCATCATGAAACTTCATCAGAATATCTGTCTCAATAATATCTCGGATGAGTTCCATCATGGGTGACCTCCAATGAAAAACTAAGTCACAGGAGCTAAAAATAGAAAAAGCTTGTTAACACTCTACTGGCTGCAGTTTTGATCCAAATATTCCGGAAATTTGTCAGGAAGGTTGTATTAATGATTTCTAGGTCAAGTTCAAAGATGGGTCATCTCTGTTCAGAAACTAGGTCACAGGAGCTAAAAATAGAAAAAGCTCGTTAACACTCTAGTGGCTGCAGTTTTGATCCAAATATTCTGGAAATTTGTCAGGAAGGTTGTTTTGATGATTTATAGGTCAAGTTTGAAGATGGGCAGGCTTTCAAGTGGCCAATAACAAAAAAGTAGGGATAAAAGTAGGATTTTTTTGGTAAAAAAGTAGGGAAAAGTAGGGATTTTCAGAGCCTAAAAGTAGGGAAAGTAGGACTCTCTACTCACCTTTTTTCCAAAGTTGATTGCAAAAACAAATACAGACCCTTATCAACTAATATCCATGGAATTTTCTTCATTTAGGAAACCAGTCACCAGTGTCTCAATAGGGATTCCACAACAGGATGAATCTGGACATGAACCTGGAATTGGTATTTTTTCTATTAGATCCAATTCCAAATAATAACAGAAAACTATAAACAATGAATATGTCAGAACACAGACTATTACTATTTAGAAACATTAAACATTAAGTAAGCATGTTTTTGTACACAGACTAGAAACAGGAAATGTGTTAAAACCTTGTTTAAGATAGCATGGTTGTTACAAAATACAAACAAGAAACATGTTATGTGCAAAAACATGGTTTTAGCTAGCATAATATGTGAAACACAGACTAGAACAAGGATAGGTGTTAAAACATGATTTTTTAACTAGCATTATAACACACTGAATTAAAAGGAGTAAATGTAAAAAAAGCAAAGGTTTACTAGCATCCTAGTTATGCATGGAGTTTAAATGGGCATGCAAAATAGATACATTTGTGTACTTGAAACAATCAAAAGTAAATTTTAAGATATATACAGGAGCAGTTAGTATGCAAAAATAGTACATGCACAACTGACAAATCAAAGCAAGAGTTTACACTTCATAATGTATTAATTGCAGAATTATAGATATTAGTATAGTAAAGCCTGCTACCCAAAGATATATATGCACACAACTACAGAGCAAAGCATATACATTAACATGCATTGTGTGAGTCCATGTGGCATTGTGAAGTTAATTTTATAAATAAATGGACCTGAAATAATAAATTGTTAGTAAAATGGAATTTAAAAAGAAACTTAATGACACTTGCGAGAAATGTAAGTAGGTCTCAGATAATTCCAAGGTAGGTAGAGATGAGTATTTATGCCATATTATATATATATATATATATAATATATATATATATATATATATATTTAATGATAGAGAGCAAAAAAACCTGTTATGTAAACTTTGGATGCAACAACAATCTCTCACATCTTTAATGGTTATGTTATTAATAATTGGCACACTGAAAGCCTAAACACACAGTTATTCTTAAATTATCTGTTATAAGATCAAGATTCCTAATCCCCCACCATATTAAAGCTATCAAATTCTATCTAATTAAAGCATACATATTTTTCAGAAACACTCACTACATTTTTCCAGTATCTTTCATTCAATGAAAATTCAGGACAAAATGATCACAGTGAGCAAGTTCAATACTTGCCAATATGCCAAACATTGCATAAAATCTATATATGCTCAAAGATGTTGGCAAGTATTGTCCTCTGACAGTATAAGCATCATTGGGAAACAATTGAGAAGCTAGTCTGTGTACAAAAACATGTACAAAAACATATTATAATTTTGAAATGAAACAATTGAGAAGCTAGTCTGTGTACAAAAACATGAACAAAAACATATTATAATTTTGAAATGAAACAATTGAGAAGCTAGTCTGTGTACAAAAACACATTATAATTTTGAAATGAAACATAAAAAATAATTGAACACTAAGTAATATTTCTATAGAAGCAGACTCACCTAAAGTCGCTGATTCTGCCATGACAGCTCCAACCATCCTTATCATGGAACCCCTCTTGCACCACTGATGACCTACTTCCATCAACTTTTTCCTACAATTAAACTAGCATCTGATTCTTATTTAATTTGAGATAAAGATTATCTCAAAATCAATCTACTACTTATACTGGATTTTTTATCAATTATCCTCAAACTTTTTTCTTAAAAAAGTAGGGATAGTAGGGCATTTCAAGAAAAAAGTAGGGAAAAGTAGGGGTCAAACAAAAAAGTAGGGAAAAGTAGGCAAAATAGGAAAAGTAGGGCCCGCTTGAAAGCCTGGATGGGTCATCTCCAGTCAAAAACTAGGTCACAGGAGCTAAAAATAGAAAAAGTTTGTTAACACTCTAGTGGCTGCAGTTTTGATCCAAATATCCTGGAAATTTGTCAGAAAGATTGTTTTGATAATTTCTAGGTCAAGTTCGAAGATGGGTCATCTCCGGTCAAAAACTAGAAATGTGTCCATAGGACACGGATGCCCCCACACGCCACTGTTCTGTCAATCTTATGACTCTAGGTCAAATATTTTTTGGACTACATGTGCCACAAGTTGAAAACTAAAAATCAACAAAGGGCCATAATTCTGTTCAATTTGGTCGCAGCAAAAATTCCTTCCTTTACTACCATCTACACATTAAGGCTGTTCATCCCTGGAAGTGTAAGCAAAATCTGCCATCCGGTTTAAGAGGAGTTGCGTTCACAAAATTTCTACATAGTATAAAGTGAAAAAATCAACAAAGGGCCATAATTCTGTTAAATTTGGTCGCAGCGAAAATTTCTTCCTTTTGTACCATCTACACATTAAGGTTGTTCATCCCTCGAAGTTTAAGCAAAATCTGCCATCCGGTTAAAGAGTAGTTGGGTTCACAAAATTTCTACATAGTATATAGTGAAAAAATCAACAAAGGGCCATAATTCTGTTAAGTTTGCTCGCAGCTAAAATTCCTTCCTTTTGTACCATCTACACATTAAGATTGTTCATCCCTGGAAGTTTAAGCAAAATCTGCCATCCGGTTTAAGAGGAGTTGGGTTCACAAAATTTCTACATAGTATATAGTTAAAAAATCAACAAAGGGCCATAGTTCTCTTAAATTTGGTTGAAGCAAAATTGCCTTCCTTTACTACCATCTACATATTAAGGTTGTCATCCCTGGAAGTTTAAGCAAAATCTGCCATCCAGATTAAGAGGAGTTGGGTTCACAAAATTTCTACATAGTATATAGTGAACAAATCAACAAAGGGCCATAATTCTGTTAAATTTGGTCGCAGCAAAAATTCCTTCCTTTACTACCATCTACACATTAAGGTAATTCATCTCTGGGAGTTTGTCAGGAAGGTTGTTTTGATGATTTCTAGGTCAAGTTCGAAGATGGGTCATCTCCGGTCAAAAACTAGGTCACAGGAGCTAAAAATAGAAAAAGTTTGTTAACACTCTAGTGGCTGCAGTTTTGATCCAAATATCCTGGAAATTTGTCAGTAAGGTTGTTTTGATAATTTCTAGGTCAAGTTCGAAGATGGGTTATCTCTGGTCAAAAACTAGAAATGTGTCCATAGGACACGGTTGCCCCCACCCGCCACTGTTCTGTCAATCTTATGACTCTAGGTCAAATATTTTTTGGACTACATGTGCCACAAGTTGAAAACTAAAAATCAACAAAGGGCCATAATTCTGTTCAATTTGGTCGCAGCAAAAATTCCTTCCTTTACTACTATCTACACATTAAGGTTGTTCATCCCTGGAAGTGTAAGCAAAATCTGCCATCCGGTTTAAGAGGAGTTGCGTTCACAAAATTTCTACATAGTATAAAGTGGAAAAATCAACAAAGGGCCATAATTCTGTTAAGTTTGGTCGCAGCGAAAATTTCTTCCTTTTGTACCATCTACACATTAAGGTTGTTCATCCCTGGAAGTTAAAGCAAAATCTGCCATCTGGTTTAAGAGGAGTTGCGTTCACAAAATTTCTACATAGTATATAGTGAAAAAATCAACAAAGGGCCATAATTCTGTTAAGTTTGCTCGCAGCTAAAATTCCTTCCTTTTGTACCATCTACACATTAAGATTGTTCATCCCTGGAAGTTTAAGCAAAATCTGCCATCCGGTTTAAGAGGAGTTGGGTTCACAAAATTTCTACATAGTATATAGTGAAAAAATCAACAAAGGGCCATAATTCTGTTAAATTTGGTCGCAGCAAAAGTTCCTTCCTTTTGTACCATCTACACATTAAGGTTGTTCATCCCTGGAAGTTTAAGCAAAATCTGCCATCCGGTTTAAGAGGAGTTGGGTTCACAAAATTTCTACATAGTATATAGTGAACAAATCAACAAAGGGCCATAATTCTGTTAAATTTGGTCGCAGCAAAAATTCCTTCCTTTACTACCATCTACACATTAAGGTAATTCATCTCTGGGAGTTTGTCAGGAAGGTTGTTTTGATGATTTCTAGGTCAAGTTCGAAGATGGGTCATCTCCGGTCAAAAACTAGGTCACAGGAGCTAAAAATAGAAAAAGTTTGTTAACACTCTAGTGGCTGCAGTTTTGATCCAAATATCCTGGAAATTTGTCAGTAAGGTTGTTTTGATAATTTCTAGGTCAAGTTCGAAGATGGGTTATCTCTGGTCAAAAACTAGAAATGTGTCCATAGGACACGGTTGCCCCCACCCGCCACTGTTCTGTCAATCTTATGACTCTAGGTCAAATATTTTTTGGACTACATGTGCCACAAGTTGAAAACTAAAAATCAACAAAGGGCCATAATTCTATTAAATTTGGTCGCAGCAAAAATTCCTTCCTTTACTACTATCTACACATTAAGGTTGTTCATCCCTGGAAGTGTAAGCAAAATCTGCCATCCGGTTTAAGAGGAGTTGCGTTCACAAAATTTCTACATAGTATAAAGTGGAAAAATCAACAAAGGGCCATAATTCTGTTAAGTTTGGTCGCAGCGAAAATTTCTTCCTTTTGTACCATCTACACATTAAGGTTGTTCATCCCTGGAAGTTAAAGCAAAATCTGCCATCTGGTTTAAGAGGAGTTGCGTTCACAAAATTTCTACATAGTATATAGTGAAAAAATCAACAAAGGGCCATAATTCTGTTAAATTTGGTCGCAGCAAAAGTTCCTTCCTTTTGTACCATCTACACATTAAGGTTGTTAATCCCTGGAAGTTAAAGCAAAATCTGCCATCCGGTTTATTAGGAGTTGCGCTCACAAAATTTCTACATAGTATATAGTGAACAAATCAACAAAGGGCCATAATTCTGTTAAATTTGGTCGCAGCAAAAATTCCTTCATTTACTACCATCTACACATTAAGGTTGTTCATCTTTGGAAGTTTAAGCAAAATCTGCCATCCGGTTTAAGAGGAGTTGCATTCACAAGATTTCGGGACGTACGGACAGATGTATGGATGGACAATTGCAACGCTATATGCTCCCATTATGTGGGGGCATAACTAGGTAACAGGAGCTAAAAATAGAAAAAGCTTGTTAACACTCTAGTGGCTGCAGTTTTGATCCAAATATTCTGGAAATTTGTCAGAAAGGTTGTTTTGATGATTTCTAGGTCAAGTTCGAAGATGGGTCATCTCCGGTCAAAAACTAGGTCACAGGAGCTAAAAATAAATACACCCTTATTCATAATTGCAAAGCCATGTTTTCAATTAAAAATAGCATTAGGGTCATGGGTCACCAAATGTCATGCAAAGGTATCCAAACTTAAATTCTCGCTAGTCACGTGATGATTAGGGCAGCATTATGGCGGTGAATTTTATGAAATGTAAACCCACTGATAAACTTTGAGGCATTATTTCATCAATCTAACGTTCTGTGTTCAAAAATATAGACTGAAGTGTCTCAAATATATCTAACTACCTGTATTAAAATAGCTTTTGTCCAGATCACCCAAATTTATTGACTTACAGCATGAGATAAATATGTCACGGTTCTGGTTGACTTTCGATACGGGATTGGCTTAAGTGAACAGGTCTAGCAGTACTATTACACCTGTTCGCTGAAGTCTCTTTAGCTTAGTCCAACTAATTAGACTTGTCAAAGAGACACCAAGATAATTTTGGACGGGCTATGTCTTTTTCCAAGTCCAACCTGGAACTGCATTTTAATGCTAGGACGCTTCCCAATTAGAAGTTGTTGGGAGCGAAAATTAGACAAGTTTAGAAGAAACGGCCTACATTACCTGAAAGAGAACCGTTTTTTTATACAAGGTTCCAAATTATCATACTTCAAAGTCGAACAAAAGTCCAAATATTCCACTTTATTTTTTGATATTGTTGAAAATCATTGTAGGCAGCCATATTGGAAATATAGAACGAATGACGCAGGCGCATGGTAAAATTTTCATGGTGTAACACATGTATCGGCGGCAATCGGTTGTATTTGTCAAGCTTTATTATACTATTTGTTTATGGTATTGGTGTGAATTTATTGCAGGAATAACTCTTATATTAACACACAAATATTTCAGCATTAAAAATAAAATGTAAAAAGGAATTTCTGATAACCTTACTTAGAAATTGAATAGTTTATGATATCCGACGTCAGATACTGTGTCTGTTTAAAATGTCAAATTAGAAATTATAAAGTTGGATTTTTTAACATCTGTGATCATTAGGTGAAAATTCTAAACTGCCTTTTTTATTTTATAACTCGGCCGTGATTTCGCACGAACAAAAATACAATGTAATTATAGGTACATCTTAATGAAATATAATTATACTATACACGATGAAGAAAGAAAGTTCTTCAAAGAAGAATTTCAATTTGTATTACACTGACTCCATATCAATTTTGAGTTTATCATCTTGAAAACAATACTGAGGACAGTTGCGTAGGTGAAGTTCAAAACAACCAAAATTACTTAAAAATAGGGGGAAACCAGAATCCATCCCACAAGCAATATGCCCGAAGCGGCAAAATGAAAATGTGCCTTTGGTTTGATTGAACCTACCACGAACGGCACAATTTTTTTATAGTTCTTGGAAAAAAATTCAGTAATATAGCAAAATTCAGTTTAATATCTGTTGGGAAAGAAGTTCAGCTGTACATACCTCCATAAACTGATGAATTTCTCTGCACTTTTATCATTCATAGAATCCAGTATAGTTACAGTTCTGTCCCTTGTGTTGGCATGCAGTCAAACCTAATGATTACCATTGACATTTATTGGTAAGATAAGATGCTTGAACTTCAGAAACTGTCCCTGAAATATTTTAGTTAAGCATAAACATTTTACTGTTATGTTCAAAATTGCATTAATTTGTATATCCAACCATATTTTTCATACTGATAAGGCTATACAACACTTTTTATATTGATAAGGTATATAAACAGTGGCTAGAGAAATCCAGAAGTTTCTGTATCAGTATAAATTATCTAACTCTCATGTTATAGGTAAATTGGGGGGGGGGGGATTTAGATTTACGCTTGCCTGTCCATCGCTTCCATCTGTTCACATTTTTGTGTCGCACATATCTCAAATAGTATTTGACCTAGCAGTCAAGAAACTTTATGTTTATCAGCATGTGAAGTTGTGCACCTGGGTATTTTCGTGTGGATATATTTAGTATTTTTAAAGTTATTGCCCTTGACTTGGTAAAAATTTGCAATTTTCAACTTGTGTCACACGTAGCTCAAAAAGTATTTGAAGTAGAGTCATGAAAGTTTACAGGAATGTTGATCACTGTCGGGTATGTGAAACAGTGCAAATTTTCCGTGATTCGGTGCTTCCATCCAATATTGAGGAAGGTAAACAACAAGAAGGTATGTGTCATTTTACTTCTATGGAATATTTTTCATGTTAAGTAAAAATAAATAACTATAAGATCAATAAGTTCATAATCAAGAGACAAAACAGAAAGTAGACAAAGGGACTCCACTGAGGTTTAAAAGCCTAAAAACATAACATTTGAATTTCTTACATAAATGAGGTGGGGCACTTTAAACACAAATATATGCAAATATAGTTAAGAAATATACTTTGAAATAAATAGAAAATCATATCTTTATGCTTTTCTTAGTCGGATTTGAGTGAAAAGCGTTTAAACGGAGTTTGGTGACCCCAAATTTTTTCTGTTTTAAAATGTTTCAGTTATCATATTCTGATAACATGCCAAATTTAAAGAAATTCTATTGATTCAGAACAGTTTTAATTAAATTTGCCTATATGTCTTCATGAAAACTCCGGAAAACGTCTTTAATAAGTATCAAAGTTCATTTATGGAGTGAAGGTCAAGATCAGTCTGGTCAACTTGAATGGCTTGTCCAAAGTGTTGTTGTGTCCAAGTATGAAGGTAATCGGAAATCCATTAAGAATTTTTAAAACAAGATTGCATTTGAGAAAAATGCTATGCCACCGCATTAATACAACACTAAATAGTAGTGTAGGAACAGATTTTTTTTGTTTCTTTACAATTTTGAAGATTGTCATAAAGCATAGATCCCTGACCTATCTTTTTTTTTATCAGATAAGTGGTTAAATCTAATGTTAACTCAATAAAAGATCAGAGTAGGAATATATCAATGCACTCAAGTCTAGTGAATTTGGTGGTAAAGGTCATATTTCACACAGCCTAAATTTCATGACTACATCAAAGGACAACACAGTAAGACACTTTGTCAAAATCTAGGTCAGCTGAAATCAAAGTTCACTTAACATCTTAATCTGTGCACAGGGTTCAAATTTCATAGCTGTACATCAAAGGACAAGAAAGGAGGTCACATCAACAAAATCTAGGTCACCTGATATCAAAGTTCAATTTTACAACTAAAACTGTGCACATGGTCAAAATTTCTTTGCTGTACATCAAAGGACAAGAAAGTAGGTCACTGTCCCCTTGGGCAAGGCAAAATTTTGGACCCAAGGGTTTAATTCAAAACAATCTTGATACAGGTCCACCAAACAACATTTCAAGTAAAATATCTAAGCTGTAGCTTTCTCCCATTCAGAAAACATTTGTTTTATTTTCTGTTTTTACTATGTGTACATAATGAGAATCACTGCCCCGGGCAGGGCCAATTAAATTGACACCAGGGGAAAAAATTTGAACAACTTTAGTAGAGGACCTATAGATGATATTATATAGCAAACATCAAAGCTCTATCCCTTGTTCCTTGAGACAAAAATAATTTTTATTTTTTTTACTATGTGTACATAGTGAAAATCAATGACCCCTGGGGGTGGGGCCAATTTTGACCCCAGGGCTATAAAATTTGTACAATCTTGCTAGAGGTTCACTACATAATGTTTCATGCAAAATTTCTTAAACTCTAGTCTTTGTAAATTTAAAGAAGATGATTTTTTAAGTTTTTACTTTTAACATATAAAGAAAACCTATGGCCCCCAGGGCAGGGCTAATTTTGACACTAGAGGCAAAATTTTTGAACAACCTTTGGTTAGAGTTCCTATAGATGATATCATTTAACAAATATTAAAGCTCTAAGCCTTGTACCTTCAGACAATAAGATTTTTTACTATATATATATTTAAAAATCAATGACCCCTGGGGCGGGGGCAATTTTGACATCAGGGCTATAATTCAACAACAATCTTGCTTAGAAGTTCACTTCACAATGTTTTCATGCAAAAATATCTAACCTCTAGCATTTGTCAATTGCTAGAAGAAATTTTTAAAAGTTTTTACTATAAGTTTTTACTATATACATATAAGGAAAACCAATGACCCCCCGGGGGCCGATTTTGACCCCAGGGCTATAGTTTGAACAATCTTTGGTAACAGACAATGCCTTATGCAAAATATCTAAGCTCTAGGCCTTTTGGGTCCTTACAAGAAGGTATTTTAAGTTTTTACTATATGTACATATAGTGAAAATCAATGCCACTCGGGGCGGGGCTGATTTTGATCGTGACCCCAGGGCTATAATTTAAACAATCTTGGTAAGGGTCTACCAGACAATGCCTTATGAAAAATATCTAAGCTCTAGGCCTTTTGGGTCTTTACAAGAAGGTATTTTAAGTTTTTACTATATGTACATATAGTGAAAATCAAATGACCCCCGGGGCAGGGGCAATTTTTGACCCTAGGGCTATAATTTGAACAATCTTGGTAGAGGTCTACCAGACAATGCCTTAATGCAAAAAATCTAAGCTCTAGGCCTATTGGGTCTTTACAAAAAGGTATTTTAAGTTTTTACTATATGTACATATATTGAAAATCAATGACCCCCGGGGCCGGGCCAATTTTGACCCCAGGGCTATAATTTGAACAATCTTGGTAGAGGTCTACCAGACAATGCCTTATGCAAAATATATAAGCCCTAGACCTTTTCAGTCTTTACAAGAAGGTATTTTAAGTTTTTACTATATGTACATATAGTGAAAATCAATGACCCCCGGGGCGGGGCCGATTTTGACCCCAGGGCTATAATTTGAACAATCTTGGTAGAGGTCTACCAGACAATGCCTTATGCAAAATATCTCAGCTCTAGGCTTTTTGGGTCTTTACAAGAAGATTTTTTAAATTTATTCTTTAATTCCTTTTGGTTGCCATGGCAACCAGATTTCTGCATGGAATGAAATTCTTTGAACAACTTTGGAACCCCTTCACCCAAGGATCAATCCTGCCAAGTTTGGTTGAAATTGGACTAATGGTTTTTCACAAGAAGATTTTTTAAGTTCACTATATAATCTATATAACACACACACACACAAACAAACAAACACACACACACACACACGCACACACACACAGGTGAATCGCTATATGCCACCGCATCGCAGATGCTGCGGTGGCATAAAAATATGTTTTAAGGACGGCAATGACAACATGTACATAGAATTACTTTTTTTTTCTTCTTTAAAAAAGTTCAGAATAAAGTTGACCATTTTCAAAATTAGTATGACCAAGATTTGTATTCACGTAATAAACTTCCGGACTAACAGGCTTATGTCTGGACAATAAAATTATATTAATATTTTACAAGGGTTTATTTTTACCTTTTTAAATAGCCAATGGCCAAGGTTGCCATTCTCCCACAATACCGCTGTGTAAGATGGGAACACAAATATGTCAGTTACATTCATTTGTGTTTTGAGCAATCCAAGAAATGCATTTTCTATCTGCAAATGATATGAAATATAAATCAACATAATATTAAACAAGTATTCCATTGACATTGGTTTGTTTCAGGTTTTAATATGCTCTTTGTACATAAGAGGGAGATAACTCCCTGAAAATGGTTCTCAAGACCTTTATTTCTACTTGACTTTATTTCCACAAACAATTCTTGAAATGTTCAAAAATAGACAATACACAAAATATATAAATAATTATTACTACTATTATCATTTGCAGTTGATTTCCATTGCAAAAATGTACGTATGTTTGTCTAAATATATGTATAAGAGTAGCTTTGAATCAAACATTATTGGACCTGTACTTGTTTTTTGAGCTTTTGGTTAATAAAATGAAAGAATGGCCTTGTGTTAACCCTTTACCCCATATATATATGCGAAACAACGCACTTTCGACTCCCCCCCCCCCCCTTTTAGGCCTAAAATAGTGAAAAAATGTTCTATTTGGGCCCCAAACACATGTTTTCGTTTGAGAAATGTTGCTAAAAAAAGTGAGCACTTTTTCGGCGCAGCCCTCCATCCAAAAGATACATCAGGGGGTTGCCAGAAGGGGGATGTGCCCCCTTCTGTTTGGGGGATTTGAAGGGGGGCGGAGTCCCCCTGATGGCCAAGAAAAGTTTGGACTTGTGAGAGGCTAAAAATGACCCCTGGTTGATCATAACGTAACGTGTAACCAAAGCTGAAAAGCCTTTGACTCTATCTCAATCCCTTAAGAAGTTGCAGCACTTTGAAATAAAATTTGATGTAAAAAATCGAGGCAAAATAGTGATTTTTGGCAATTTTGAGATGTCCCCTTGTTGCCATGGTAACAGGAAATTTAAGACTGAGCATGTCGTTACAAAGGCAATGGTCCAGTCAACATTTGTGCCAAGTTTGATTAGTACTGAAGCATTTTTCATAGTTTCATAGCAGTTTGAACTTGTAACAGGAGGCTTTTCAGTGAAAACGGCCATTTTTCACAATATGCTCATGAGGGAAAGGGTTACCTAAAAATATAAATGTTACAAAACAACAATTTTTCACCAAAATTAGGTGAAAGACAACATGTTAAGATGGAAAAACTAAATTTTGGGTGACTAAAGTTTTTCATCATTTTTTGTTAACCCCATATATACGCGAAAGAACGAACTTTCGACCCTCACCTTTATTAGGCCTAAAATAGTGAAAAAATGTACTATTTGGGCTCCAAGCACATGTTTTCATTTGAGAAATGTTGCTAAAAAAGTGAGCACTTTTTCGGCGTCGCCCCCCATCCAAAAGATACATCAGGGGGTTGCCAGAAGGGGGATGTGCCCCCTTCTGTTTGGGGGGTTTGAAGGGGGGCTGGAGTCCCCTTGATCGTCAAGAAAATTTTGGACTTGTGAGAGGCTAAAAATGACCCCTGGTTGATCATAATGTAACGTGTAACCAATGCTGAAAAGCCTTTGACTCTATCTCAATCCCTTGAGGCTTTTCAGGAGGCTTTTCAGTGAAAACGGCCATTTTTTGTTACTTTAAAACAAGAGTAAATAGTGATTTACAGTACCTTATCATTCAGCCATTGTCCATAATCCAGTGTTTTAAGATCCTCTTCTTCAATGCACTCACCACCTACAGAGAGCCTGGAATTTGGCAGATTAACAGTCTGGTCTGGCAATGGCATCAAATGGTCAGGTTGAGAAACCAGTGTCTTAGCAATGGTTGCCATCGGTTCAAACAGCTCCATGGCTCTGCAGCATACAACGGACAAAACCAATGTCATGGTTCTTTTTTCTGATATTGTAGCTTCTAAGTGTCTTAGTTCTGGCAGAAGTTGTGCAGCAAATAGATCCAACTCTTCTTTAAAGTCTCTGGCAACCTGTTTGAAAGAGAAGAAAAACAGACAGCTGTTAGCATACATCAATATTAGCTAGAAATTTCCAAACATTTATCATTTATCACCAATGTTCTTAATGGTGGTTGACTTGTATGTTTAATATGATGGAATTGTCTTTTGCCACACAGCAGTATTAGTAACAGTCTAAATATATTTTACATCTGGTCTGAAACAAGTAAAAATTCCCTTTGACTATCAAAATGCAATTAAATTAAATACTTGTCCCGAGATTGTAAGATTAAATTGGGAAAAAAATCATAAAATTAAATTATCCAATGAATATCATTTTTGTGCCCCCACTTTAGTGGCGGGCATTTAGATTTACCCTTGTCCGTCCGTCCTTCCTTCCGTCCGTTCTCTTTTGTGTCGCACGTAACTCAAAAAGTATTTGACCTACAGTCATGAAACTTTACAGGAATGATGATCAGCATGTGTAGTTGTGCACCTGGGTATTTTTATCTGGATATTTTTAGTATTTTCAGAGTTATTGCCCTTGACATAGTAAAATTTTGCAATTTTCAACTTGTGTCGCACGTAACTCAAAAAGTGTTTGACCTAGAGTCATGAAACTTTACAGGAATGTTGATCAGCATGTGTAGTTGTGCACCTGGGTATTTTCGTCTGGATGTTTTTAGTAATTTTAGAGTTATTGCCCTTGACTTAGTAAAATTTTGCAATTTTCAACTTGTGTCGCATGTAACTCAAAAAGTATTTGACCTAGAGTCATGAAACTTTACAGGAATGTTGATCAGCATGTGAAGTTGTGCACCTGGGTATTTTCGTCTGGATATTTTTAGTATTTTTAGCTCACCTGTCACACAGTGACAGGGTGAGCTTTTGTGATAGCTTTTCGTCCGGCGTCCGTCCGGCCGTAAACTTTTACTTTAAATGACATCTCCTCATAAACCACTAAGCCAATTTCATCCAAACTTCATAGGAATGTTCCTTTGGTGGTCACCTTTAAAAATTGTTCAAAGAATTGAATTCCATGCAGAACTCTGGTTACCATGGCAACCAAAAGAAAAAACTTTAAATATCTTCTTTTAAAAAACCATAAGAGCTAGAGCATGAAACATCTTCTAGTGAGTGTCTACCAAGTTTGTTCAAATAAAATCCCTGGGGTCAAAATTGGCCCCGTCCCAGGGGGTCATTGATTTTCCCTAAATGCTTATAGTAAAAACTTAAAAAATCTGCTTTTAAAGAACCCAAAGACCTAGAGCTAAGATATTTAGCATGAAACATCTTCTAATGAGTGTCTACCAAGTTTGTTCAAATAAAAGTCCTGGGGTCAAAATTGGCCCCGCCCCAGGGGGTCATTGATTTTCCCTATATGCATATAGTAAAAACTTAAAAATCTTCTTTTAAAGAACTCAAAGAGCTAGAGCTAAGATATTTAGCATGAAACATGTTCTAATGGGTGTCTACAAAGTTTGTTCAAATAAAAGCCCTGGGGTCAAAATTGGCCCCGTCCCGGGGGTCATTGATTTTCCTTAATTGTGTATAGCAAAAACTTAAAAAAATCTTCTTTGAAAAAACCCAAATAGCTAGAGTTTAGATATTAAGCATGAAACATCTTCTAGTGAGTGTCTACAAAGTTTGTTCAAATAAAAGCCCTGGCGTCAAAATTGGCCCTGTCCCGAGGGTCATTGATTTTCCTTATATGTGTATGGCAAAAACTTAAAAATCTTCTTTGAAAAAACCCAAATAGCTAGAGTTTAGATATTAAGCATGAAACATCTTCTAGTAAGTGTCTACAAAGTTTGTAAGTTTGTTCAAATAAAAGCCCTGGGGTGAAAACTGGCCCTGCCCCATAGGTGTCATTGTTTTTAATTATATGTGTATAGTAAAAACTTAAAAAATCTTCTTTTAAAAAACCCAATGAGCTAGAGGTAAGATGTTTAACATGAAACATCTTCTTGTGGGTGTCTACCAAGTTTGTTCAAATAAAAGCCCTTGGGTTAAAATTGGCCCTGCTGGTGGGGGTGGGGGGTGCAGAGGTCATTGTTTTTCATGTGTGTAGTAAAAACTTAACATCATGAAACATCTTCTAATGGGTGTCTTCCAAGTTTGTTCAAATAAAAGCCCTGGGGTTTAAACTGGCCCTGCTCTGGGGCCTATATACAGGTCAGCGACCTCAGGGCCTTCATGGCCCTCTTGTTAGAGTTATTGCCCTTGACTTAGTAAAATTTTGCAATTTTCAACTTGTGTCGCATGTAACTCAAAAAGTATTTGACCTAGAGTCATAAAACTTTACAGGAATGTTGATCAGCATGTGTAGTTGTGCACCTAGGTATTTTTATCTGGATAATTTTAGTATTTTTAGAGTTATTGCTCTTGACTTAGTAAAATTTTGCAATTTTCAACTTGTGTCGCATGTAACTCAAAAAGTATTTGACCTAGAGTCATGAAACTTTAAAGGAATGTTGATCAGCATGTGTAGTTGTGCACCTGGGTATTTTCATCTGGATTTATTTAGTATTTTTAGAGTTATTGCCCTCGACTTGTAAAATTTTGCAATTTTCAACTTGTGTCGCATGTAACTCAAAAAATATTTGACAAAGAGTCATGAAACTTTACAGGAATATTGATCAGCATGTGTAGTTGTGCACCGGGTATTTTTGTCTGAATTTATTTAGTAATTTTAAAGTTATTGCCCTTGACTTATAAAATTTTTGCAATTTTCAACTTGTGTCGCATGTAATTCAAAAAGGATTTGACCAAGAGTCATTAAACCTTACGGGAAGGTTGCTCAGCATATTTAGTTTTGCACCTGGGGTTTCGCTTGTGGATTTATCCAGTATTTGTAGAGTTATTTCCCTTGACTTAGTAAAAACCATTTCATTATGTTGTTATTTGTTCCTTGAGTGCTTGATTTAGAATCAACGAACTTTACAGGAATAATGATCAACATCACTAAATTACAGGAATAATGATTCACATCACTGTGAAGCTATGCACCTGGGACTTTGCATGTGGATTTTTTTCAGTTTTGTTAGAGTTATTGCCCTTGACTTACAGTAGTATAAATTTGCAATTTTCAACTTGTTCATGCATAGCTCAAAAAGTATTTCACTTGTAGGCCTGAAAGTTTACAAGAATGTTGGTCAGCATGTGTACTTATGCACCTTGGGGTTTGCTTGTGGATTTATTCAGTATTTGTAAAATTCTTGCCCTTTACTAAGTAAAAGATTTTTTAGTTTTCAAAAAATATTTGACCTAGAGTCATAAGATTGACAGAACAGTGGCGCGGTGGGGGCACCCATGTCCTATGGACACATTTCTAGTTTAATTAAACATTTATGTTTCTTTCATGAACTTAAACAACTTTAGTTTCAGAATATGAAAGTAATGACTATCAACTGTTTAAAAGCACTGAAAATTTTTATATTGACAAGATTATCTTGAGTGCTTTCATGAAAAATTATAATATTCTAAGTAAAAACTAAAATAATTTTGACTGTGCCAAAATATTACTGTTTTCCAACTCCTTTTAAGGAGATAATTATTCCATGCCCAATAAGCATTTCAATATTTTTGCAAAAATGTTTCATTTGTTTTTTTTCCCTTAATATAAGATAAAATTATTTTATGTTATGATAGATTTTTGGACAAGTAATAAAGAGGCAATTAAGGCTCTTTCACCCCTTGACTTCTAGACTCCTTGGCATAATTATAAAGATGACTTCTAGACCCTTGACTCTTAGACCCCTTTTTTACATCACGTAAATTCTGCATCGTTTCACGTACCCGACAGTGATCAACAGTCCTGTAAACTTTCATGACCCATGTTCAAACTCATCTGAGCATAGGGGTGTAACAATACAGCAAAAACCGTATTGCAATATATTGCCATTTTGCTGAAACGTATTGCAATACGTATTGTCGTGTATATGTTTTGATGTAAAGATGGAGTAACATTTATATATTATTATTATATGTATATATTTTAATAGACACTTAATAAAAATGTAAGGAATAAATAGAAAGTAAAGTGTCACACAATTTGAAAAACAAAACTAGTCGCGTGTGACCTTTCACATCTGGGCCGCTTATGTAAATTATGCGGCCGCTTATTGACTTTTAAGTGTACTAGTTGTCGGATACTTTTATCTTACGTTGGCGCCAACAAAATTAGCCAATTAAAGATTTTATGTGAAATTTGTACAAAATTAGAAGGCAAATAATTGAAAAATATGATTTTTATAAAATACCGGTTTTCCAAAAATCGTACCGCGGTACGAAATTAATTTTTTCATATTGCAATATATCGGTATACCGGTAAACCGTTACACCCTTATCTGAGCAATTACCTAGACAAAGCATCCTGACAAAGTTTGATGATGATATGAGTCAAAAATGTGACCGCTAGAGTGTTAACAAACAAATATGGACAGCCGACAGACGACAGACATTCAAAGATCCTAAAAGCTCACCCTAAAAATGGTTTAGCTCTTGTAGTTTCAGGAAGAAGTTTTACCTCAAACATATATGAAATGTTTCCAGATCCCCCTTTTATTTCGCTCCTTGTCTCCATATTTAACCCCACTTGTTGCCAACATACACCTAAAATTGAAAAAACAAGCAATTATCATAGTATTGCAAGCAATCCATAAGTCCCCTACCGGTTAGAACCCCATCAACATTCTGAAGGGCCATTGGCCATTCACTTATGTTTCAAGTTTTCTCTATTTTAAGTAAATTTGTTGGAAAAGTTCTTTAAAAGTGATCACAGGAAACAGTTTTTATGAACAGACAGACAGACGGACTGAAGGACACTCTAAAGTTAATATTTGAAACATCCCGGTTACCAAAATATAACATTTTAAAAGCAAAAGATAACTCTTGAATTAAAGATGCAATTTCATAAAATTTTCAGCTCTTTTTGACTTATCACAAATATTGTTATATTTGCCATGTTTTAAGCCTATTTGTTGCCAAGGCAACTGATATTTTTTCATAATAGGAAGAACAGATAAGACATG